TGAATATACGTCATTGCTGTATGCTAGTGATGCATTTATCTGAATTTTTGTACCTATTACCTGGCTGGAGAGCTTCATTGCAACATTCGGAGGGTTGAAAACTTCAAATGATGGTTGTGTTTTGGTTCACACATTGCTTTGGAAAAATGCCAGTTAGAGGTAGGTCCACCTTGAAATGTGAAATGAATCGGATTCCCCCTCTCCATTCCAAATGCCAAGCTAGTTTGTGCACAGGCAAATGGTTCACAAAGGTTCAAGCTGCAACACACCCCACTCCAATTATGCAGATCCGAACTCCAAATATGCCCACCACTCCACCTCTTATCCCACAGAAAGGAGATGTGACTTACAGGTACATAGGAGGAGAATGTTCCCAGCAGGTTGCTTGTGATATTATGAAAGGTCTCTTTCAACAGGTCCACTTTGTCCCCTGCCTCAGACATGGCCCTCTGTGGAGAGACCTGCAGAAGCTGCCCAGCTGCATTCCAGACAGTAGCAGGGGCATCCTTCACTCTTGAGGCGATGGAGAAGCACGACGTCTGCAGGTTCTGAGACACACTGCCCACCAAGCTCTGTGCCTCGACTTGCTTTGCTGTCTAGAAGCAGAAAATAAAGCCAAGGATCTTGGTTGAGCAAGCATGACTTTCCCCCATGAGTACTCATGACCACATCTGCACCATTCATTTGAAGTGGTTTCATATCACTTTAAATACTACTACTACTACTACTACTACTACTACTACTACTACAGTGGTACCTTGGGTTATAGATGCTTCAGGTTACAGACTCTGCTAACCCAGAAATAGCATCTCAGGTTAAGAACTGTGCTTCAAGATGAGAACAGAAATCACGTGGCAGCGGCAAGAGGCCCCATTAGCTAAAGTGGTACCTCAGGTTAAGAACAGTTTCAGGTTAAGAACGGACCTCCAGAACGAATTAAGTTCTAACCAGAGGTACCACTGTAATCTAAAGATAATGCTACTTAAATTGAAGCCACAACTGTACATCTGAACTTTCCAGCTGAAGATGAAAACTTGGGGAAGGGAACTGATTACAGAAAGAACATTAATTGATTTTTATCTTCAACTTAAAAAAACCACACAACATAACTCACCTAAACCTTTTTGTCCAGGGTTCTTAGCAAAGTTAAAGGTAAACTGATAAAAATCTTTAAACTTCATTGGATCCTTTAATTCTTGTTCCAGCCTTGGCAAAAGTGTTTTTAGCTTGTCCGTAGTATCACACCTGGTGAAAATATTACATTCTTTTTATAACAAAAAACCCTACAGTTTAAATACACCAACAAAAACATGACAAATATGCTCTCACTGTTCAAGATAAGATATATTCTTTATTAAAAGAGTGTAATCATCTTTATTAAAAAGTTTTTATATACAAGGCAAGGATCAGCATAAGACTAACTGGCATGATAATTTAAGATTTTAACAGAACTAGTGACTATGAATTATTCCACAATTCTTCATTAAAGTGCTGTGGCTGGGATGCAAAAAAAACCTGCACAACTGCTTTATTTATTTTCATTTTCACCCTGCCTCTAGGCTACAAAATACACATTTAAAACAGCTAAAAATCAATAAAATGTTATTAAAACCATTTAAAAGCAGGACAGAACTACATGAACACCAATCAGCATTTACCATGGTAACATGAATATTGGATTGAAACATTTGTACAGGAAAAAAATGGCAGAGGAATGTTTAAATATTCTCTTGAGCCTGCTAGTTGTCTCCAAGTCCACATTAGCATTGTGAGACAAATACTTGGTTAACTTTATATATTATTTTTACCACACATTTCATCATCATCATCATCACCTTGTATGCCACTTTTGAACAAAATTGTGCCCTGAGTAGTCTCCGATGTATCAAATGAGTGATAAGAAAAACTTTTTTTTAAAAAAAACCCTATCAGGTAGAATCATAATGTTTATAAATAAATACCAAAATATTCATTCAACAATATATAAAAATATAAATAAAATAATCTGACAGCTTAAAAACACAAACAGGAGGAATAATACCTAACATAGAAATAAAACAGTAGTACTTTACTACTATTTTCAGCGCAGGGAGACTCAAAGTGGCATATGAGATTAAAAATAAAACACAAAAACAACCCAGCAATTTAATACAGCAGCAGATAAAAAGCAACCAGCTATTCTCCACCTAAGCTATTTTTTGTGATGGTTAAGCTCAGCCTTTCTTGGCAAAGCCCAAGCAAAGGTTTGCTACAGCACTGATAAAAACTGATGTCAAATTGGCAACCCTCCTCCAGCAGGCTACTTGACTTAAGCCAGAATTTTTAGGTCCAATAGGACTAACTTAGCAGCATGAATGTCTAGTTGAAACAGTTCTACTAGGAACAATCAGCAATATACAAGTCTGGGGAAAGGCTACACCCAGAGCCTTCACCCCTTTGTCATCAGGCACTACAGACACCCTAGCTGTCCATGTGCGGAGATACTGTCTTCCAGCACCTCTAAAAGGTAAAAGTTATAGGACCCCTGACAGTTGTCCAGTCGCAGACAACTCTGGGGTTGCGGCGCTCATCTTGCTTTACAGGCCAAGGGAGCTGGCGTTTGTCCACAGACAGTTTCTTCCGGGTCATGTGGTCAGCATGACTAAGCCGCTTCTGGCGCAATGGAACACTGAAACCAGAGCAGCACACGGAAACGCCGTTTACCTTCCTGCCGGAGCGGTACCTATTTATCTACTTGCACTTTTTTGGCGTGCTTTCAAACTGCTAGGTTGGCTACTTCCTCCTAATTCTTTCATTCATTTCTGCTTCATTCTTGCACCATGCATAGAAGATCTACTTCAAGTATTATGATCCTGTATTTATTTTAACTCCTGTTTTAAATGTTAAATTCTACATCTGTGGGAAAGTGTGAGAGCTCAAAACCATTCAAGGTCTCACTGCCCCAGGGCAACAGAGGAAAATAAATTCAAGCAGGCCTTATGAAGAAATATAAAATATCTATTTACTGAACAAAACAAAAACATCAAATTTTGTCCATCTTGTGATAAACTAATTACATGGGTAAGAATGGGAGAATTTTTGACCTTTTTTGTCAACAAAGCCAAATGTATGTTTAGTGACTTCAAATGACATTTTAAAAAAACATTTGGTCACGTTTGAAAGCGACAAGAGGACATTAGAATCATTGTAAGAAGATGAGGAGGATGAAAGCACATGCTAGTAAGCAAGTACTGAGAGAAGCATGTGCTACTGAGAAAGATGAACCTGAGAATTGTCATCTTAGACTAGTGTTACATAACAGAAAAAATGAACTGTTTTGCTCTGGTTCTGTGGAGGAGCCAATGGAGCAAGGCAGTTGTCACAGCACCATGGAGAGCTCCTAGTGAGCAATGTATTTCAAAAGGGGTTGAAAGTGAACTGGGACATTTGGGGCTGTTTCTTTCTGCCAGTCCACCTCTCCTAGGCTCCACCCTATTTTGGAAACCATACAGAATCACAGAATTGTAAAGTTGGAAGGGACTCTGAAGAACATCTAGTCCAACTCCTTGCAATGCAAGATTCACAACACGAGGTTCCCTCATCCAAACTGAAACTATACAGGACCCTGCTTAGCTTTGCAAATGTGCTAGTATTTTTATTGCTGCACCACTAAAGAACAAACTCTTAAATGGGTCAAACCTCTAGCTGGAGGTCTTCTGTGTTCCACGACACTTCAACTGAATCCAAAAAAGCCATAAATATGGTCTTAACTGAAGGGAACAGACCAGAAGGACTGGGGAACGAAATTGTCCCTACTAGGAAAAGCTCCAACTCTAGAAATTCACATCCATCTAATGAAACCATGTGCATGGCTAAGAGCATCTTTGGGTAGTTTTTACTAGGACAGTTCCCATAGTGAACTAGGAAAGCAAATGTTCGATTTTTAAAAGTGTCTACAGTTAGCTTATAGGAGATTGAGCGGCAAATGAATGCTACGCAGAAAGCTCTGGATACATGCACAGTTTGTCTGATAACAAATCGCTCTTTGGACCCACAACTCAGGTTATATGTGTATAAATAAGGACATTGTGTGATTAATAATACAATTGTTCAGTATGCACATCTTTGAAATATTCAGAAAGTACTTTTGGTCTACTAAGAACATTTTGAAGTCCTATTAAAGAAAGGCATACTCACCCCAGTTCTGTCATGCCATCTACAAATTCTTTTTTGCTGAATTCACACTGCGTGGCTGCCCTAAATTTCCATGCTATGACCAAAACACTGATACTAGCAGGGTCCAAGCTTAAATCATCACAAAACTGTTGAATCCCATCAATGCCAATTTTATTCTCATCTTGCGGATCTGTATATAGGGGAGGAAAGAATGTTATATTTTTATTTTTCATGAGAATCACAGTTCAAAGAATTGCAGCTCTTTAACCATCAGAAACATCCTGCTATTCCATTTTTCACAAAACCGAGGGGGCCGGGGCTCATGCACACCATGGGGTGTGGTGTTGGGGGCGTGGTGACGTTCGCACGGCCACGGCCCCTCAAATCATGAGGGCAGAGCAGAGCACCTGCCTAGATCTGCAATCCACAAAGTTTTTTAAGTTAAAGCACTTGAAAGCCAAGTGGTCAAAAACCTTAAATCCAAGTACTCTAGCTTAACCCACCTACAGATGCGGCTGTAAACGCACAGCTTTAATCCAAGAAACTTCCAGACATACTTCTGTTTTCTGTGTCTGATATGAAAGCAATTTCAAACTTTAAAGAAGCTCACTCCTGTTGTCTTCTTTACACTTAAATGTTTCATATGACAGAATGGAATTACATGAAGTTACAAAATTCAACTGGGTTGTGAACCTAAACCAGGTAACCTCCATCTGAACAACATGATGACCTCCAGACATTGTTTTACTAGGACTCTCATAATCCCTGGCCTGTCTGGAACTGATGGGAGTTGTAATACAACAGCTAGAGGGCACTACATTTTTTCTATCCATCTAAACTACACACCTTAACCTTACTAACCAACAAGACCATCCTCTCTGATTTTCTTTAAAATGAGTTCCAAAATTTAAATAAATAGTATGTCAACATTTATAGTACAGTATATGTTGAAATTTCAAAGAAAGACAGTCTTACTTTTAAAATTCCAACTGAAGAGTTGTAATGATATTTAAAATAGACCTTTGTACTGGATGTGTTTCACATCTCCATAAATCTCTTAAGGGCTTGAAAAACAGATGATTGCTGTAAGAGGTTATTAGACAATCATACACACAAGAACAGATTTTCTAAACTTAAATTCTATGGATCACTCTAGTCTTTCATTCATCTCTCTGAGAGCCTGCTTTTGAAGCAGTTAACTACAGGTGCAAATGAAATGTCCTCTTCAAGTCTGCTTCTGTTTAAAAGTCCCCTATAATACTAATAAAGGACAATAAGCTACATTGAGCTCTCCAATTTTCTGTATATGCTTAGTGGAAATGTAATCTACAACTCTGCCATTTGTGACATAGTGGGTTTTTTTACAAGTAAAACTAATAACGTCTTTCAGACACCAACATATTATTATAACACATTTCATTGGAGCTGTCAGCTGATTAAAGTATTTTGGTTTGTTAACAATCTGTCTTTTAAACCAATTGCTTAAGTAAATTTGCATATTACCCAAACATCAGTACGTTCTGAGATAAAGTTTAGCAAATGATTGCTTACTGAAGACTGAGTAAGCTACCAAGCAATTTAGAAGAAAAGACCTTATTCAAGCTATTACAATAGTACAATAGAAGTCTTAACACCAGACATTTAAATCCCAGAATCCTGGAAATTGTAGTTTGTTACAGGGGCTGAGAGTTGTTAGACCTCTATTCCCTTCTCAGAACTAAAATTCCCAGAGTTCCATGGGAAGAGGGATTGAGCGCTGTTTCCTCTGCTAACAGGGAGGTTTAACAATCAGATTGCATCCATAGTACTGGGGGACACTATTAAACTTTAAAGCACAAGCACTGATAAACATTACACTGAAAGTGGCAAGGATTCAAGGCTGGGTGAAAAATCTTACAGATTTGAACCTCCAAAGGGACAGTGACTGATTTATTTTTATTTTTTAAAAAGCTTTATAGGGACAAACCTATGGCAAGATACAGATCTCCTGTTCAGTCCGGTTGAGATGGCATAAAGTCCCCAACCCTGGTTTCAGTCAAGATACACTGGTGTACCCTGCACATCCCAGCTCAGCCAGTTGACCTATGGCTGGTAAATGTCCCCCAAAAGGGGCGTTATGGGGCTAAGCTTCACTGAAGTGCAGCAGGAGCAGGAATGAGGGAGCAATGCAGCCATGATCTCCTCTGGAGCTTGCACACTGGGCCATGTTTAGCTTTGTATTACTTGTGAAAGAGAGCACAGAATATAAATCCAAGCAAAATATACAAGGTATTAAATAATCAACAGTGATGGGTCTCACATATAACTGCCAAAAATTGGAGTTGTGTTCCACTCCCTTTCACTGGATACTAAGCCTTTTAAGAAATTCATATTGTTCTACCTCCCCAATTTGGATGAACATAACATACGGGGCAAAGACCAATTTGCATGCATCCAATTGGATATGCGACTGCATGCCACTGGCATCAACCCGGGAAAACCAGGAATGACCGGTCTGTAACGTGCTTATGTGAACTCTGCATTTGTGCACGATTACCCAGAATGCCAAACACCCATGTAATGGTGGTTGCCTGTACAATAAGGTAAAATACCAGACAACCCCAAGTGTGCACGGGGGTTGTGGTCTGGGTGATCCACGGCATGTTAGCCAGAATGCACATAAGCCCCACCCCTACTTTCAAAGGAGTTGTTGGCATCTGTCCTTCTCCACAGAGACAATGGAGGGCAACTCCCAAGGGTGGAGTCAAACCACTTTGTTAACAGCACCGGTGACTTCCCCAGGGTGCAAGCCTGAGCAGTGTGTATGGAGGCCCTGGGCTGCCCAGATGACAGGACCCCCTCAGCCTCGCTGATGTGGTCCAAAGGGAAGCGGAGCAATACATTTGGCAACAGCCTGGCTGCAGGAGTTGCCCGAAGGAGGTGTACAAGATGCCATCTAACCATTTTAGGGACTCTGCTCTGGATTTGAGTAGGGTTTGCTCCTTAGCTTTTTCTTCTCTTGAAGATATTTTGCAAGGCAGCCGAGGTTTAGGATCAGCTTTCTTCTAGATGGGCTACCTTCCCAGGTTCACAAGTCCCATCTGCCCCTCACTTCCCTCTAGCATGGGTAGGCAAAATAAGGCCCGGGGGCCGGATCCAGCCCAATTGCCTTCTAAATCCGGCCAGTGAATGGTCCGGGAATCAGCGTCTTTTTACATGAGTAGAATGTGTGCTTTTATTCAAAATGCATCTCTGGGTTATTTGTGGGGCATAGGAATTCGTTCACGCCCCCAAAATCTAGTCCGCCCACCACAAGGTCTGAGGGACAGTGGACTGGCCCCCCTGCTGAAAATGTTTGCTGACCCCGCTCTATTAGCATGTACAAAATCTGCCTTTCTTGACCAGTGGACCCAATATTGTCTCGTCCGTTCAATCCACCAGAACCTGTCTTCCTATGCAACAGAAGTCCCTAACTCACCAGGGGTTGAGACCCATTCCAGCTACCCTCACCTGGTTTCAAAGGAGTATACACTTATATAACCATCAACATAGGCATTCCAATGTGATTGAGAATGCACATTAGAACACACGTTCTATGGAAAACAATGCAGGGAGTATAAACAGCACCTCCATTCTTACGCCATAACACCAGCAAGTGATTGACAATAGAAACTGGATCAGGGTGCATGCAATTTCATTATAAAATTCTTCAGTCATGTGTAATGAATCAGATACTACAAGATCCACACAGTCCGTAGTGGCTGACAGGGTAGTTGTGGGTGGGGCTGCATTGCTCTCCCGTTTTTCCAACTTGCTCTGCACCATGAGGGGGCAGAATTGGGATCATTGGATTGATTCTGCAGCTGCACCCAAAACGTGCTGATTATCTCACTACGTTACCCCTCCCATCCTTGGTAACCAGCAATGACCTGTGGCACTGGGAAGGCCAGAGAGCAACACAGCCCTACCCATATGACCCTGCTAGCTACAGCTATATATAGCACTTAATATACTGCTAGTACATCTCACACATACAAATTTAAGCGGCTAGATTGCTCTTCCTTAGCACGCATGCTGGATTTGCACTTACAGTGTTTTCAATTTTAAAATAGAATTATGTCATATTGAATGGCAAAGATAAAGCAGGGGGGAGAGCTTTATACTTGGAGGTTGTCATTATTACGGTAGTATATACAGAGATCATTAGAACAGACTTCTACATTCACATTTAGTTTACAGCCTGACACTATGCATGTTTACCCAGAACCAAATGCACTGAATTCAACGGGTCTTGCTTCCAAGTAGATATGTTCAGGATTACAGATTCCCCAAACCCCAAAGATTTAGGCAAAAGCTGAAACCAAGTCCAAATGAAATAATGAAAAAATAAACCTTACCTTTGTACCTGTTATACAATTGTTCTAATTTCTTTCTGTCTATTGAAATTTTCATGGATTCTTTGTAGTACAAGTCTGGGTTCTGGAAGTAGTTGTCTGTTGCCACTTCTAGTTTCCACTCATTCTGCATTAAACAGTATATAGCAGTCCTTTCACCAGCCTGGGTAACTGCCATAAACTGGCGGACCTTGTCCTTCTGAGACGATTTAAGTTTATGCTTTGGGATGCAAAAGAAGCAGGAAAGCCAATGAAGCTAATCCAGTCGTTTGTTTCAGAATTCTACTATAACTGCCTATCTTTTAAAAGGGTTACTTCTCTTGTTGGGTAACAAATTTCACTCCAGAATAACCCAAAGAAATCCTTGTTCTTCTGTAGTTAAAGACAGCACTCTCTTCTGAAAACTGAAATGACAGCATCTATATGTACATTTTTAACAAACAAACAAAATTCTGAGTGCAATTCATTTCAGTCTTAGCATTACAATTCTAGATACATCAGCTTTCCTCATTAGAATATCCAGTTTTATCTACACAGTAGCTATTCATTAAGGGCGCCAAATCTTTAGTCAAGTAACTTTTAAGTAGTGGTGTTATGATAAACCTAAGAACAAAACTGTGCCCTTATAAAGCATGTAATTACAACGACATGTAATTACACTACCATATATTCAAGGGTCTAAAAACACTGAAGATACAATCCTTTACACATTTACTTGGGAGTTAAGTTCCATTAAAATGAATGAACTACTTGAAAGCAAACATGCATAGGATTGCACTTAGTTGCAATATCAGTGGAGATACATAATCATGATAAAAATCAGAAGCCGGCATTCTAAAAGTATTGTTTCAGGTTAGAAACCAAAATAAATAATAAATAAATGTGTCATCCAAAAACACAGTAACATGAAGTCACTTAACAGTACATTCCTATTGCATTAATGTTTCATTTGCATTTCTTTACTGCCAGTACAGTCTTGAAATATCTCTCAGTAAGATGAACACAGGTGTGATATTTTGTGTCACCATTCACAATGGCATTTTCTTTATAAAATCCTCTTAGCATACGAAACTGCACGACCAAAACTACAGCAAGACTTCTCTCCTATTCTAAAGAAGCCCCGTGTAAAAAATGTTTGTGAAAGAGTCCTGAGAACCACCACATTGGAAAATAAATCCAAGTAAAACCATGGCTCCTGTATCCTTACTTGCCAGCCAATTTCAAGATCCAGGAATTCAAGGTTTTATCACTGAAGTAAAGAGAGGCTTGCTTGTTTTGATTCATCATTCACTTTTGGGGATAATGTGAGAAGTTGAGCTTTCACAGGCAAGAATAATGAATAAAATATAAATAAATAAATAGATAAGCAAGCAAGCAAGCAAGCAAGCAAGCAAGCAAGCAAGCAAGCAAACAGTTTACTGAACTTCCTGAATCAGGGTTTCTATTTTATTTTTTTAAAATACATTTATTCTGATTCTATTTTGAGATCCTCATTTAAATTCGGCTTCCTCTCCAAATAAACCACTCATTATCATACCTAGCAGGAGACAAATGAGGGGAAATTGAGCGATGCCAGATCCTAACGGAGTGTGTGTGGGAACGATTTGGTCTTAGAAGCGCAAAAGGACGGAGGGAAGAGCACCTTAGCGCCTCACGGGCAACTCATTCACCTGCGGCTCCTTGCCCCCCGCGGGACAGCTCACCCCGGCCTATATCCCTCCCTATAAAAAACCCCTCTCCCCAGAGCTGCTCACAGAACAGGTCGAGGAAGTGCGGGTGTGGGAAGTATAGCTCTGGGGGCCGGTCTGTAAGAAGCGGGACAAAATCGGTGTGTGTGTGTGTGTGTGAGTGTGTGTGAGAGAGAGAGAGAGGGGTTGTCAGGCTGCTGCACCCTGCCAGCTTCTCCCCTGACCAAAAAAGGGAAAGGTACGTGGTGGAGTTAGTGGTGGTGAGAGCCCGTCAGCCAGCCGTGGTGGCAGTAAGTACTGTAGCTGCGGTGCTTCTGCTATTAGCTTCTCCCCCAAGAATCCCATTACACGCACGCACGCACAAAAGAACAACCTCCCTTTCATTCACACGAGACGCACACCCGTGTGTCCGGGTTAGTGTTACAGGATCGCCTCGGGGCTTGGAGAGCTTCAATGACGGGGAAGGAGAGAGGGGGGAGAGAGGAAGGCAGACAGGGTTAAGTCTCAAAAGAGCCTTTGCCGCCCCCTCTCCAAAAAAAAAAAGCCGGCCGCCTCGTGACCTTCCTTGACTGAGGCGCCAGCAGACGGGAGAGACCTAAAGGGGAAAGAGAGCAAGGTCGCTCGCTGCGCTGCACTTTGCCCTCCGGCGGCAGCCCGGCGGGAGGAGCTTTTAACCCGC